CAAATAAGTGCCTACAAGCAACCAATATGTCAAAGCAATAGTGCTCTCAGATTTGAAGAACAAAGAAAAAGAAACCTAAAATCTCAATCATAGTACGAGACTGATATCTCCAACCACAAACTTACCAATAGCAAACCATATGTCGCCAACCCGCTATTCAAAATTTCAGTTCGATCCAATAGTAAATGAAACAATAATCATAATTTTATTGAGATGACTCGATAAATAAGCAAAACAGTTTTTTTTTTCTCTTCTAACAAAGTTGCGAAATTTATCTCTTTGTTCTGACCTAGAAGACCTCTCTCCACTTAGGTTAAGTGAGATAAAATAAGTTTCACTAATTTAAACTTTTTAGACACATAATTGGGAGTCCAACCTAACATCACCTTTAACTTAAAACTTTAAGACATTAGGTTTGTGAATCTTCCTATCTTATAAGTTATCCGTGAAGTATAATTTTCTTCTACATAGGTATATATTTTCTTCAAGTAGAAATATTTTTTAACTATAAGTATCCAATAATAAATTTATTTATATTGTCGTCCAAACAATGGGACTCACTTATCTAAAACTCTTTGGTAGGAAAATTTTTAACACAAGTATTCATAATCTAAGATTTGTCACCTATTCCAATCATATTTGATTGGATCGATCATCAGACAAATCATCAACTATGATATCATATTAGAAATACAGAAATATCTAACTCAATTTTACAAGACTAGTTTGCAAGAAGAAATTTATATCACAATTATATATTATAAGTTGACCAAAATTGAATTTCTAACAAAAACAAATATAACAATTCTTCTCGCATATGCTGATTTTCTTTATAATGTGGACTTGGAAAGGTATTCATGGACATATTTGGAAAAATTAATATGAATTGTATATTTTATTACTAATATTAATGACTCCTGTGAAAAACATAAACTAAGAAGTTTTAATTGAACAATTATAAAAAAAAATTATTTGGCAGTGTTTTTGCCCATCCATTCATGCAAGCTATTCAAATTCTTGATTTGGTTTGTCTATAACAAGTAGTATTTGAGCATAATATTGATGCATGAAAACACTCCCACGAAAGATAAAAGATGAAGATAACAGACACAGTTATTGAATGATTAAATTACATTTTCATGGTTATTCATTCAATTGTAATTGAATTGATATTAATAAATAATAATCAATAACTATATATAATAAGATTCCTTTTACTAATTACTTTGTGGTTTATGACTTTATCTGAGGAAGAAAAAATAAAAAGTATTATAAAAAATAGTTATTATAATTTATATATTTAAGAATAGTAAATATATGAGAAAAACATAAAATATATGATCCGTAATTAATAGAGAGAAAAATAGGTATATTTAAAAAGTGGAGAAAAAAATTAAAAATTATTTCTGTTTGCATTAGTAATAAGAATAATAATAATAATATTACATTAAAAAATAATATTTTTTATAATTTAAAATATAATACTAATATATAAAAGTTCAAATTAAATATTCCCTTGGGTCCTTAACTTAAAAGGGCTATTAATTAAGACCAACTAAATTTAACACATTTAGTAAATAATTATGTTTCTTAAATATATTGTTAGATGTGTTAATTATTGATAATGTGTATAAAAAAATGTTGAAAAGATAAAGCATACTTTAATGAATTATATACTTGGAAAGAAATTGGTCCTGAGACAAAAGAACATGGGTAAAAAACTTTGCACCAAATGAGAGAAAAAAAAAATGTTTGGCCCAAAATAAATACCAAACCCTCTTTAATCCAAGAATTGCTTCAAATTTCATAGTGAAGTAAACCAAACACTCCAATCCCAAATCCTTTGTCACACAATCAGGAGTGGGACATAGACTTTGGACAATAACCTAGCATTCCGGAAATGGCACTAAAGATCTTGTTCAAGGGAGTGAAAATTAAAAAATAATAATAAAAAATTAAATTATAGGGTATTTTTCCATGTTCTTTAATGGCTGCTCTCCTTTGTTCTAATCCTATGGAGGTGGATTCTTCTTTAGGAGCTTGAATAAGGGACTTGTATACTTGGCAACTTTAGGGATGAATTCTCTAATGTAATTGACTATCTCGAGAGATCTACTTGACGGTCAGATTTTCATTCGAAAAGTTGAGGAGTTTCTCAACCACGTGAGATTGCGGAGCCGTAACGAAGTGCATTCCCAAAAAATCGATTTCTAAATAATAAAAATAAAAGAAAATAAATAAAAATTAAACATAAATTTATTTATTTTTAATAATTGTATTTATTATTTTTAATTATTTGTTGTAATTATAATTTTTCCTTTTAAAAAATGTTTTTTTTTTAAAATGTCACATATCAATTATGTGATATATATATATTTGATGTTTTTGTGCCTTTCTTCACAAAAACGAGGGAATGAATGTTTTCTTGGAAAAATCAAAATGTTTATCTCAAATTTCATACTTTTATCCCATTTCCATCCTTTTAGTCTTTCAGTCTGCATATTAAAGGTAGGAACTTCAAACAACAAATATCATACCATCACTTGTTCAAAATAGGTAAAATATAATTTTTTTAATAATATATAATTATCCTTAAAAATAATATGGTAATAATTCTAAAATTAATTTCAACTTTATTACAATATAATTCAGTATATAACAACCTAAAAATATTTGCTAGAAAAAATTAGGGTGTTAGATGCAAATATATTAGAATTTTTAAGATTTGATGTATATGTATTTGTGATATATAATTTATTTTATTGAAAGATTTTTTTTATTCTTTTACTATATAGAGAGAGAGTAAAAATATGATAAAATATTAAATATTAATAATATTTCACTCATAATTACCTAAATCAAAATAATAATTTAATATCATTTTATCTTCTTCTCTTACAAGCTAATAAAATATGTTAATACCTAATTTGATCTTTTTTATTTCTATTCTTTTTTTCTTCCTCCTCTTTTACTTATAATTTTTATCATTCTCTTTCTTGTATATGATCGTCACTTCATTCAATTTTGTTGTTTTATTGTCATGTTGTTCATTTGCAATCACTTGCAAATAAATATTTTTCTCAATATGATATTTCTTCTCACAAAGTTTTTTCTTTGGTGCATTAACAATCTTTTATTTAATAACTAATATACTTAAATTTTCTTTCTTGATCTTTCATCCATAAAATATAATGTGAAGATGACATTTTTTCTTGTCTTTCTTTATTTTATTGTCTTTCAACACAAACAAATTCATTGTAGGTTTCAACTCTTTCAACTTATGCAGTTTTTTTAAAGCTTTTCAATTTTACGACCACATTTTTTAAGTTTCTCGTCCTTTTGCTTAAGAGCTTCATTTTTAATCTTCAAGATCTTTTCGGTCTTCTCCTTCTCAAAGTACATCTGCAGTAACATTTCCTCCATCTCTAGTAATTATTTCTCAAGAAATTGTTGCTTCTCGGAATCTTGTTTCTTAACAATGATGTTGATCAGATTGATTGTTAGGATTTTCTTTTTCAAAACTTTTATGTCTCTCTTTGTGGGTGCAAATAATCTCAACTTTTTTTGAGTGACTTTAAGTTTATGATTTTGATGAGAATCATTTGTGAAATATCTACATATAAATATGACTTCGATTTTGCTTTCATCATTTTTCTTTCTTTGTGGATTTTGATTTGGACTATGGTGAAATTTTCAGGACGGATCAATGATGTAATCATTTTCCCTATCAAGATAGAATTGCATTCTTACCGTAAAACTTTTTTCTCCCTCCATTCTTCTTGTAAAAATCAAAATTCTAATATCACTCGATGATAATTTTTAGGGTTTTGTGTATATGCATTTGTGATATATGAAATATATCTCATGAATATATTTTTTATTCATATACTCTATATATATAGAGTAAAAATATGACAAAATATTAAATATTAATAGTAAGTTAATCATAACTGTCTAAATCAAAATAATAACCTAATATCTTTTATCTTCTTTTAAAAGATAATAAAATATGTTAATACCTAATTTAGATAACGAGATAATAAAGTAATATTTTCTACTCAATAGATTAGATATGCATCATGGATATGAAGATAGGAATAAAGTTGATGAATAATACAAAAATAATAACTCAATAAAAATTATAGTTGTGGGATTTGTATATAGTTAGGGTTAACAAAATAAAGTATAATATAATAAGTAAGCTTAAAAAACTCAAAAATTTGATTAGACAAAAAAAATATTTGTGAGATAAAGTAAACTCTCACAGTTAAATTGAGCTATCCATTTGTATAACTTTATATATCTTGGGGAATTTTGATAACTTTAGTAAGAGATTTTAAACTTAAAATGAAGTCACACCAAGTTAAATTGCTACATAATTACACTTAGTTTCTTATGTGTTATAATTATATGATTTTAGTAATTTAGATTCTAATTTACTCTATAAAACATTTGAACTGGGTTATTTTAGTCTTTCAATTCTAATTCTGTCAATTAATTTGACAATTGATTAATTAATTTATTTCATTAAATAAATTGTGAAAAATATTTTTCACATGCAAATCACGTAAGCATTAACAAAAAGTGATAGAAGAATAATTCCAAGCACAAAAAGGTTGTTATATAAAAAGAAATTAAGAAAAGAATATATACGTTGTTGTTGTGGCGTGTCAGCTGATTATTGTTCGTTATCTCAGGCAAAGGTAGCCGTTTTCTTTAGCTTCTCTTTCACTCTCTCTCTCTCTCTCTCTCAAACTTCCTAAAAAACAATGAAAGATGCTGCTAAAGTTATGTCCCATTGCATTTCATTACAGGCTACCTTTTCTCCTTTTTTTTCTCGCACCCCATTTTGTTCTTTCTCTCTCTCCACTTCCATAACATAGGTTCCTTTCTTTGTACTTTTCACTCACAAAGAGATACATATATAGAAACACAAACGCTTTTTTGAGAAGCACTTCATTGTTGTCATCATCATCGTTGAGAGAGAGAGAGAGCAGACAATGAGTTCTTCCTCTGGTCAGAGCAGTGGCTATGATCTCTCCTTCAAGATCTTGTTGATCGGTGACTCTGCTGTAGGAAAAAGTAGCCTCCTTGTTAGCTTCATCTCCAACTCTGTCCAAGATGTTGCCCCCACAATTGGTATTTCATTGCTGCCTCTAGAAAACCGTTATTTCTTTTTCACGCTTGCTCCCACCTAAGTTTTTGGACTTAACCAGGAAAAGATCACTTTTTTGTTTTTTGGTTTATGGTTTAAAAGAATAAAATGGAAAATTGTGAACTTCTTATGTGGGTTTCAAGTGTGCTGTTGGGGACCACTTATGAACGTTTTGAGAAGCTGTTTCTTTTACCTTTTGATTTAGAGTTCTTCTATGTACTATGTTTTTTGTTATTATTGAATCAGTGGTCCTCGGGTATTGAGTTAACTTGATTGGTTATCTGATATCATTCTGTACAAAATAACTGTTCTACTGTTTTCTTCTTTCCATATGCTTATATCAGATATTATAGTTATGATGTGATGTGATGCTATTTGTCCTTATCTTCTGTTGCTCTATGTTATATAGGTGTTGATTTTAAGATCAAGGTGTTCACAGTAGGTGGGAAGAGATTGAAACTAACTATTTGGGACACAGGTAATAATTGCTCCAGTCTTTAGAATCTACTCTAGTTCATATGAATCAGATGCAAACATGTATATGAAATGTTCCTTCTGTTGAATCATTTGTTCATTGACCTATATGGTTGATCGACGTGGTAATTTCATGTCTAATGATATTACATCTATATTGCAGCTGGACAGGAAAGGTTCAGAACGTTAACTAGTTCTTACTATAGAGGAGCGCAAGGAATCATTCTTGGTATGCTAAAATGGTTTATGCGCTTGTTTTTTTCTTCTGTATCAGAGAGCTCTAGTGGTTCAAACTAGGACTGAGCACTTTAACTCTTTAATTTCATAGATCAATGATAAGCATTATAAACTCTTCACTCGGGGAATATGATAAGTATTTTTGTAGGAATCATAACATTTGTTGTAAACCTAGCTTTACAGCAGTTCCATTTATCCACTGCGTTTTGAATTTGAAACAAAAAAGGGGCTTTTCAAGACATCCCTTGCAGTATGCCATTGTCCTTTTTATGGTATGGAGTGTGATAGAATATCTTGTATCCTAACAGAGTGTTTGTAAGAATAGTTATCTGGGGTTATCTGTGGCTTGTGAAGCCACCAGTTTGTAATGAGTAAGATGATTAATGCCTGTCATTGAATCATTGATAGTTAACATGCTTCAAATTCAAGCTATCTACTTACATTTTTTTTTTCTCTTAGTTTACGACGTGACGAGAAGAGACACTTTCACAAACTTATCAGAAGTGTGGTCTAAAGAAGTAGAACTCTATTCAACTAATCAGAATTGCGTGAAGATGCTAGTTGGAAATAAAGTTGATAGAGTGAGTTGTGTTTTATTCTTGCGCAATACTATATTTCCTCAAATGAATCGATTGGTAACTACTGTGAAATCTTTCCTCAATGAAGTGTTTGGAAATAAAAATGAAATATCAATATGTGGCTCTGAGCTAGTCCGCACTCTGCATTAAGAAAATAAAACAAGAGTTTTGTCTTCCCTATATCTCACATCTCTGTCATGCTTTACTCTGTTGTGAAATCGATGACTTAAAAGAAATAAACTGAATTCTATCTTGAAACCAACTAAGATATATCTAGTTTTGACCTCTTGCTACACATGGACAAGCATGTGGCGTTCATACAGATTTTCTGTACTTCTCTGCCACTATTACTATGATAAACTGAGGATCCTCCATCAGAAAATTAGATCCTGACATCTTTCAGTCCATCACTACGTCTGCATTTATGAATTCCAAGTCAATTCAGTAAATATTGGGATTATGTATGCATACTTTAGACAGAAAATAAGTGTCATCTAGAACCTTTTCTGTAGTCAAAACAAAATGAATCTGTCATTAACAGGGTCTGCGTGCTACAAAACCTTGTGGAGATAGAGATAGATGAATGTAATGTTAGGAGTAAGACCTTGGACATCCTCTAGAAATAATGTCAATTCTCAAATATGAGTCTCTTTACAAACAAAAAAATTTAGAATTTTGGAGCAATCAACTTTAAGGACATATACTTCTCCTAATTTACAGTTCTTGTCACGATGTAATAATTTCTTTAATATGTGATTTCTTTCTTATTAGGATTCTGAAAGGGTTGTGAGCAAGGAAGAGGGTTTAGCACTTGCAGAAGAGTTGGGATGTCTGTTTTTTGAATGTAGTGCCAAAACTAGAGAAAATGTGGAGCGATGCTTCGAGGAACTTGCACAAAAGGTATTTGTAGAAGCATACTATTTATCAGTTGATGTTTGTTCCATGTACACAAAGTAGTTTTTCAGCTACCTTAGTGGTAGAGGAACACGAAATACAGTGACTTGCTATAAAAACATTGCATAATAATAAAGGTAATGGAAATCAAAATTTATAATAAGATGCAATAACCCCTCTTGGAAAAATCAAAAATAATGTTGAAAGTTGGAACTGTTACATGTGACATGTGGATGTAAGTAGTGTGGATTGCTTTTTCATTTCCTATAGTGACAGTATCGCACCATTTGATAGATAATGGAAGTTCCTAGTCTTTTGGAAGAAGGATCTACAGCAGTAAAAAGGAACATTTTAAAGCAACAACAGGAATCCCAAGCATACGAAATTGGTGGCTGTTGCTCTTAATTACCGCAATGTGTAAAATGAGTCATAACTTGTTCCTCTGATCCTGTATATGTAAGCTTCTTATGTAATTTCTCTTATTGTTATATCTTCTTTACTGAATTAATGGCCAATTGACAACTGTGCCTATTAGCATGTGTAAATTTCTGTGCATTCTGTTATTGTTTCTGCCCTATAATTTATCCAAATACTGATATTATGCAATCTTTGTGTATACCGCTCAACAGAGAAATGATAATACTATATACTTTTGGATTCTATTGAATAGTAATACATAGTTCTCAAGAAAAACCAAAGATTGTAACATAAATGGTTGATGTATTAAACTTAAGATCAAATTATTTAGACATTGTCCGAATTTGATCCTTGATAGTCAGATATTATTTACTGTTTAGTCATATGACAGATTAATATATGAGATGAAACCTTCAAACATTAATGAATCATGTCAATGGGAAAATGAAAATAAGAATAGGGTCTACGAAATTTGACCACAATTTATACTAGCATGTTCTGTTTCTGCCTGTGACAATGCAAGTTAAGACTTGCATGTAAACCATTATGTTTATACAATTTTATGTTAATCATTCATCATCTTATGGCGATTAATGGTGGTTCATTCATTGGTTTGGGCCAGTGATTTATGAAGAAAATATGCCCTTTTCGTTTAGTTGAAATTACAAAAACGAAAAGTATTATTTAAAAAAAATAAGATGTTAATCTTTTTAAGTTATCGGGTTATATTTTATGGAGGGACATAAATAATTTCAGTCTAAAGTTTTCAAATAATAATAATAATAATAATAAAAGAGCTATACCAGCTAAGTATGTTTACTGTGTTTGGACGTCAAATGAAAACGAGGAAAAAATTGAAGAAGAGGACAAAGAAAAATAAATAAATATTCCAGTTGTTTAAATCGAAAAAGAAAAAAAAAATAACATTAATAATTTTTTATCTAATTAAAGGAGAAAAGATTGTGAATCCATTATGTATTATACATGATTGATTATTGATTACCATTTTATGCCCTCAAAAAATTAATGCATAATGTGTCAACAGATTATATGTATTTTCAAATTATTTTTAATTTGTTAACGAATCTTTAATTAGTTAATATGTTTAATATGTTCAATTGTCACTCAATGTTTTAAACAATTACATTTTTTATTGAATTTAATTTAGTTTTTAATAAATTTAATTAAATCGATTTTTTTATTTAATAACTCAATTTAATCGGATGAGTAATTTAAAAAAATATCACCTTTAAAAAAAACTCAAAAAATAAATATTTTTAATACTTCTTGATTTTTATAAGCTAACAACAAATCTTAATAACAAATAGATAAACAAAATTTTTTATAGTAAAATTGGTATATAATTATATATGAGTGATGATACATGTACAACCCCATTTAAAAAATGTATCCAATGTACAATTCAATTTATTAATATAATAATTATAAATGGATTTTATTTAAATAAAAATAATTATTATGTTGTGTTCGGTTGTCAATTTATCCTTTCCGATTATATATTTATTATACAGTTAATTTGAATTCATTAATATGTTACTCAATCCAATTTGAATTAAATACATTAAAAGTCCAACTCAATGAAGTCATAAAAATATAACGGGATTGAACTGGATAAATTCGTAACTTGAATAATAACTAAACTTACGCACCCTAAAAAAATTAATATGAAAAAATTGGCCATTGATTATAAAAAAAATGTTTTTTTACCCTTTCCAATCTTGTTAATAATTTATATGAAAAATTTTCAAGTTTTTTTATTGAATAAATCAACTCAAATATTATTGAATTGAGTTCCTATGTTGACTAACTATAAAAAAAATTATCATCTTTTAATAAAATAATACTATAAAAATATTTTGAATGTTTACTAAATTTAATAAGATAAAAATAATAAATACATAAATAATATTTATTTAATAAAACATAAATTATTTTTTATGGTAAAATTTGATTAAATTTATTGGATTTTGATACCTAATTCGAATTATGTGTATAAAAAATCCAACCTAGGATAAATTCGCATTTCTGGCTCCAATAAACACAAACGTCTTAAAAGAAGAAAATATAAAGTTTGGATCCCAGATGTCAATTTCCAATCCCCACACCACCCACACAATCTTCTTTGACCATCCGAACAAGAAAATAGATCACTGCATATCCTTTAATATACAATGCAGAAGTGAGGATAACATGGATCTTAAACTTTAAATCGTATCTATAATCGAATGATTTAGCTTCTAAGAACAATTTTACTTCATCATTCGAACAAAATTATTCTCCAACTCATTTTTAAAAAATTACCTAAATACAAATAATTGCTTTAACTTCGATCCTTAATTTTTGAAGCATCAAATCTTTCCAAATTCAAACTCTACCAAAATCTAAGCCAGACGGTATGATCGGAAAAATGAAGAACACAGATTTTAAAGGGATTTCAAAGTTACAGAACTTGTACATAGCTTTTAATTTGAAGGAAAAATCGGACCTGTTCCTTTAATTATATATAACCAAAACCAATGTCCTCAGAACACTCTAGTTAAGGAATTAAATAAAAAATTATTGAAAATATAAAAACGTATTAAAAAATCACAGGAAAAAACGTATTTATTAATCCCAACAAAGATTTCACTTTTAACTCATCCACTGGGCAGGACTTTTAGTTAGCATTTTTCCTTGAAATAAAACTAACAAACACAAACTGATTGTAGATTAATCAAGTTTGAGAGAATGAATGTTTAAGAGTTAATGGCAAGCAACAACTTCATGCTTATTGACAAATGAAACGAGAAGTATACCTATCCAGTCATATCATAGATAACTGAAGTTGAAGAGTAAATATATTTCAAATATAAGTAATCCGGGAGAGTCCTCTTTTTTATCTATCCGAAGTTAAAACTCCATAAGATGTTCCTCTAATAAATCATTTTGATTTTTTAACTTCGAAAAAAGAGTATGGTGAATGCAATACAGATTTTATAGCAACTCTGTTAAAATGAAACTAAATATTTCTACTGACCAACGTCTTAATGCGATTAGCATGTCATGGCAAGGACGGCCGCGCGAAGCAAAGCCCGAGCATCAGTGTTCTGGTCAGGTAAATCTGCCGGGGTCTGCCAAAAATTATATTAGAAATTGATGAAGAATAGAAATGGGTAATTCACAATATCTTTTTACTACTTTCACTATTAATTGTAAGATTGTCACCCAAAAAGCAAAAACAATAAAATATTGCTCATGTCATATCAAACCAAAAATCCCCTAAATTTCTTTAAGAGCTTACCTTTCCATATAAGTTTTCCTTTGCGAGAGATGCCCCATGAGACAGCAACAAGTTAATTACATCAACATGCTCACCTCTTGCTGCATGATGGAGAGGCTGAGAAAATAATCACAAGACAATGATGGAGAACAAATCAGGAGAAATTCATCAAACATGATAGAAAGACAGTTAGGGATAGGAATGCCTATTTGAATTGGCATCAAGAAAGTAGCCGAGTAGGAACTCCAATTTTTTTAAGGGTAAATAAATACTTACAGTATCACCCTCAGAATCAACTGATTCCAGCATTCTCTTTATATGTTCTGCGTCATTTGCTTTGTTAAGTAGCAGTTGGACTATCTCGATAAATCCTGTTAAGACCATTTAAAGTAAAATGATATTGAAATTCTTGCCCACAATAAAAAAGATAAGTTCAAATAATAGAACATGATTTAAGAATCAAACTACCTCCAGCACAAGCATCATGCAAAGGAATTGCACCATCTTCATCCCTAGCCTCAATGTTTGCTCCTCTTTCTAGTAGCAGCTGCAGTTTATCGAACAAGATCAGCAATTCATGCAATTGGTGTAAAAACATGTAAGAATAAGCAAAGATAATAAACCTGAACACAAGCGAAATGGCCATATAAACATGTCAAATGAAGAACAGTATCCCCATCCTCCACAGGCTCATCAATACTACCAGTCAAGTTATCTGCAGTATACAGCATGAGGGTTAGCATCAAACGAAGGGACACCTAGTACCAGTACCCAATTGAGGATAATTTTAAAGATATCTCTACAAATTACGCATGTTAGGAAACATGTTGAGAAGTAAGAAATCACATCAAATTCACTAAAAAAATAGAAGCTATAGCTACTATCTTCTATGTAGGAGGGAGAAGAGAACCACTTCTGAGAGACATGAAAGCAAATAAGCTATACATCATTTAAATTTGTACTGCTAATGTACCAGACAAAGGACCCTATCAATTCAAAAGCCATGAAAATTAAGGTTTTAAATTGCATTGGCAATCGCAGCTTCACCAAAATCATTCATGTTAGAATAAATCATCAATTTAGTCCTCTGACTCTCTTCTAAGCACTCCTTAACGTAATGAAATTATATAAGTCATCCCTAGAACATTATAAATCATGTCGCGTAGTCATTCAAGTATTGGAAAATCCTTCAAATTAGTCTATCGATGTTAGTAAAATATTTCAATTAAGGGATTAAACTAATGGATTTTCAATACTTAAGGACCACAATGACAGTTTATTCTTCATGCAACGGAACATGCAGTTGATGCACCCACTGTTTACCCTAAAATCCTTATGGTTGCGACCGAAATCGTGGATGTAGACACTATTTTAAGCACGGTATCGCAACTAAAACACTCAAATTCTTCTCATACAATTTGCCAGAGGGTTCAAATATTTACAACGACCCAACCAGTAACTCTACATGAATCAATTTTGAAACAGATGATATAGAAACCTTATTCTCTAGTTTGTTAGGGTTTGGATTGAGCTTTGAAGAAGCAATAGAAAGGATACAGCAGGGGCAGGTCAGAGATCATTATTACAGAGAATTATAGAGAAATAAAAAAATTAGAGAGACAAGTGAGATAGAACCTAGAGCGAGACGGAGGGCCTGGACGTCGCCGGCCTCCGCGGAGGCGGAGAGGTCGCGGAGGTGAGGAGGAGTATCGCTGAATTCTACGACGAGACCTTCTTCTTCGAAAAGGGCGTTGTCGTCAAAGTCCTCTTCGTCGTCGTTCATGCCGTTGCGCCTCCCTGGAACCGCCATTGATCCTTTCTTCTCCTCTGTGCCGCCGCTGCCAATTTCTCTAGCACACGGTTTTCGGAAGTTCAAAAAACAGTTCCCTGCGGTGGGGGATTTTTTTCGCGTCTGACACCTAAATTTCCTGTGTTAACATCTTTTCTCCAATAAATACACAACTAGCATATTTTCTTACTGGAATTCTCACTTGTGTTTTTAACAAATTTTTTTAAAAAGAAAATATTTATTAAATATCTATATTTATTGAATAAATATATAAATATATATTTTTATAAATATTTTTATAAATATAATAAATACATATATATTTATATATCTAATAAATATATATTTATATTTTTCTATATACATAATAACATAAATAAATTATATATATATAATATTTAAGTATATTTTTATTATATTTTAATATGTTTGTATATATTTTTATAAATATGATAAATAAATATTTATATTTTCTTATATACATTATAACTTTATTAAATATAATATATATATAATTATATTTTTAAATATTTAATAAATACATTTTTTATAGACATAATAATTTTATTAAATTATATATATATATATATATATAATACTGAAGTATTTATTTAAAATAAAATATTTTTAGAAAATACAAATTATAATTTTCTATTTTTCCATAAAAATATATAAATATTTTTATTAAATATAAATACAGTTATTATATATATATGATAAAAATATATTTATATAATTATATGTTTAATATATTTATGTATATATATATAATAGATATATATTATACATTTAATAAATACATATTTATATTTCTTGTATATATATATAATATTTTTTATATAATATTGAAATATTTATTTAATAAAAAAAAATTTAGTAAATAAATATAATATTTAAATTAAAAATAAATTTATTTAATTTTGATGTAATATAAAATAGATTTGGTATAAATATTTTGTTAAAGTTTTATATAAATAGAAATTTGAATTTAATAATTTGATATAAAATTTGAATTAAAGTGGATTGATATTTTAGATATTAAATTAATGAAACATGAATAAGCAAATTAGTAAACTATAAATGAATGGAATAATTGTTTATTTATTTATTGTAATGTCATATTACAAAAGTACAACAAAATTATCTATGAGAAATTGATCTCTTAAGGTCAGGATTATGAGGACAATGATTTTTTTGTGTCCTGAAGTGTGATAATAGGAGTATTTTCTTAGGTGACTTTCTTCACGGATATTCATTTTAGTCTTAATTCTTGTTGTTGGATAGGGATAAAGTTGTGGGTCTTAATGGGATGGTCAATAATCTTTGTGTATAAGCTCCCCAAATAAATCGTCATACATTTTATTGGCTACATCCAACATGTAGATAAGATTAATGTACTCGTAATCATGATGAGCATGCTTGCACGCTACAACCACATGAGAACGTGGAAGATGAAGTTTTTTAAACTTCCAACAATTATATCAAGTTTCATCTAGTCTAACAACAAAATTACCAGTGGGTAAAACTTTCTCTTGGGCTGACAATCTCCTCCACCAAGAATCTTGTGTTGTATCTATCGAATTCAAGTACCTTATGAGTGTTTGATTTTGTATAAACATCTTGCAAGACCTTGATGTAACTTCTGAATGAACATGGTCAGCATTAATCATTATTGTGATTTGTCTCCCACTTTCTGTGAAAAATTTGTTGCATCATGTGTATGTGGTCATGACCATGGAGGAGATTGACAAATTCCTTATTTTCTTCAAGACTGAATTGATGGATTAAACTAAGTTGGTTGTTAGGTGACCTCATCTTCTACCATCATCATATGCAAGTGTCCATTTGTTCCTAGGAATTTTATTAATTCAGGTTGATACTTCTGGATTGGTTTGCCTTATGATATTGTAGTAGTAGTTTATTCTTGTGTATGTTGCATATTGAAGTAATAAAAGTTAACATAGAATAAACAACATGACATAGTAAAACAATTTAGATAGAATAAAAATTGTTATTCATATGGACAATGTCTTTTTTGAGAGTTGCATTGTTGAATCTTCTCATAAAAATTTGTGCAATGTATCGAAGTACATGTGCATATAGTTACCCTTAGTCCATCCATTCTCTAAGTCTTGCGTATGGTGCATGAATTGAGTTGTGACGATTCAAAATTAAGCACAAGTTGTGTTGAGGTGTGACATACCTTCTTAAATTTTTTAAGAAAAAAAAAACAAAGCATTTACAGTTTCACCTTCAACAATCACACAAGCAATGTGGAGTATGATGTTCTTTCCGTCTTATGTAATAGATAGTAGTACTACAAGAAAAAACACTTTTAGCGACCAAAATTAGCAACCGAATTTCTTTGGTCGCAATTAGAGACCGATTTAGCAGTCGATATAATTCGGTCACAATTAGCGACCGATTTTGCCACCGAAATATGATTTGGTTTCACTTTTTTATTTAGCGACCAATGTTTTGCGTCGCAAAATTTCGATCGCTATTCCATACTAAAAAAAAAATTTAGCGACTGAATTACAAATTGAAATAGCGACTGAATTAAAATTGGTTGCTAATAAGAAAATAAGCACTGAATTAAAATCGGTCACTAATGAACATTATTTTTATATTATATTTAAATTTATTTTTTTATAAATATACTTTAATTATTTTAGTATATTTTTTAAAAATAATTTATTTTTTAAAATATACTTTAAAAATAAACTTTGGTCTCAATGTTAACAAAATGAAGATTAACTTTAATTTTAAATTACTAAAATAAAAATATTATTAAAAATAAATCAAATTTATTAAAAATTTAAATTGTAATAAATTAAGATTGGAGTGATATTAACTATTCAATACATTATTTAAGAAAAGTTTAATAACAAATATTCTTTAATATAGTTTTCAATTGAAATTAAATTATATTTTAAAAATCTATAGTAAAAAAATTGAACACATCAAATTATCACATTTTAATTCCTCATTAACTTAATTAATAAAAAAAATTACAATCTCAATCAAATTATTATAATTTTATTTTATAATACTTTATTTTTAATCTAATATTTAAATTTATTACTTTATTATTATTAATTGTTTAACCATGGTTATTTTCATATACTTGATATATAAGAAAAAAAATTATATCAAAATATAATTGATATACATTAGATAATAAATATATTATTTAATTAAATTGTTTATAAAAATATAATTATCTTTAATTGAAATATTTTTTACTTTAAGTATACTAATTAATATTTTTCATTTTTAACATAATTAATAACAAGATTAAAAATAGACTGCTAGAAAAGTTAAAAATTTAAAACTAATCCATTTTATAAATACTAAAAATAAACCATATTTAAATAAATTAACAATATATTTAAATCTATATTCAACACACCTTCAATTTTGCTCAATAAATACATAGTTCATATTTGGAAACTTCATCATCTGAAATCATTTTAAAATTATTAACTTTTTTGTTTTTTTCAAAGCTTAGTTTTTCTTGTTAGTTTTTTCAAAAAAACAGTTAATGTAAGTTAAGGTGTGCTTTTTTAAAATTTAAACTTTTTTATATATTGGATTTTTATTAAAAAAATTCTAAAATTGGATAAGAAAATGGAGATTTAATTATACTTTTAATAAATTTAAGATAATACTAGTTTTTATTTTTATTTTTAAATATTTATTTTTATTTTTTTAAACATAGAAACTATAATTTTAGTTTCTAAATACTAAATTTAAAGAATTAAATTTATTATTATTTAATCTCTTAATTTTAGTATTAAAAATTTAAATTATATTTTATTAAATTAAAATAATTACAATATATTTTTCTACTTTGAGAATTAAAAATATAATTAAACTAAAACTGAAAATATTACAATACATTTTTAAACTCTTTTTTATAATATTTTTATCATTATTATATTTTTGGAAAAAAAATTCCTAATTTTTTATAAAGTCAATTTTAATATTTAAAAATATTTAACATTTTGAATTCTGAAATTTTTTCTCTATTAGCAAATTTAAAAACATAATATACTAAAAAAGTATTATACATAATTATTTCATTCAAATTTTTAATAATATGATAAGTCATCAAATTCATTTTTTCTTATTTCATGTCATTCTTTTTTATATAATATATATATATATATATATATATATATATATATATATATAAAATAAAAGTAGTCTTTATTTTTAAAATTCACTTCTTCAAATTTTATCTTTATATTTTTCTAATATTTCTTTATAGTTAAGAAGATCAACATTCGTGCACACACTTAAATATAATATAAAGTAAAGAGTATTTGTTTATTCGATTTTCTTTCCAATCTATAATTTTAGTATTTTTATTTTAAAATATATTTTATATTTTTTAAATTAATAATTTTAAAGTAGTTATCTAAGTTTTTTATATGATGATTTTAATTAATTGATATTATCGAACCACTTTATTTGATTTATTATAGTAAAAATCATAAAAATAAATGTTAAAATAATATTAATTATTTTAAATTATAAGAAAATAAATAATAAAAATAGAAAATAAAGTATCCTATAAAAGAAGACTAATTATTATAAAGATAAAATAGAATATGAGAGGATATGAAGATGATAATGTAATAGAAATGATAGAGTTTTCAAAAAAATGTAGAATGTGAGAAGTTAAAAATAAAAAGTTAAAAAAGATATATACATAAGTAATTGGATTAAATTTATTATCCCTTCATATATTATTATACATTATTAGAGTAATTTTAGTTTAATTAAAAAATAGAATACAAATATACTATACGATACTAATATACCAATATATTATAATATTTGTAATTTATTTTCATTGTGTATAAATTAGAAAACTAATAATTTTTAAAAATTTCAATGATAATTTTTTTAACTTATATATTACAAAATATTTTTTAATACTTTAATAAATATAAATTTTTTAAAAATATATTTCATCAATTTAAAGTATAACTTTTTGGTATTTTTTAGTATTT